ATAAATAAATCAAATAACGTTGTTTCGAAACATACTATAAAAGAAAAAGTTACCAAGGTGTTATACAAAAAAATGAATTTTTCAATTTTGTTAAATATATTGCCTGATTGAATTATTGTTTTAAATCCTCTTGCCAAATTCTCTTTCTATTTTTCTCAAAAAAACTAAAAACGACAGGAGAAAGTAAGAGAAAATTTGTACATGTGAATCATAGACTATTTGAACAATAATAGAAACGGAATTCACTAAAAAAAACAAATTAAGAATAGAAGAGTTAGTTATGTATAGTTTCTGCTTCATTTATTTATTAGTTTAACATATCACCATATTATTCATAAACTCTTATACATAAAAACAAAGTATCTTCATCAAATTCCCACTTTAATTTATCAAACTACCATACTGACTATTAACAACACATTTCAAAAATTATTTTTAGCTACATATATACTGGAAGAAAAATGACTATTAATAATTTGTTAACCGTAATACTTAAACCAATGTAAGATATGAGGATTTAGTGATTTACCTAGTCTAACATTGAAAACTATTACTAATTAATCACATCTACAAAAAGATAATTAAAAATTAGCTCTTCACACTTAAAATCATTGTAATGGAGATTCTTCGTTTATGGTCCGTTGTCATTTAACCTTGAACTAATATGTCTGAAGATTCATTACATGATTTCATTTCCCAACTCTCTCAAACTATATTGGTTCACTCACTCATTCATGCACCAACCTAAGTTGATTATGATCTTATACGCAATCATTGAAATTTGGATCAATGTCTTAACATTGAAATTTGTAGAAAACAACTTTTCACAAAACCTCATAACGAAATGTTAACTATAAATAGTAAAAATCCTAATCTTAAAGATCCTTCTCAGTTCTCTCGTGATCGAAAAAGCCTCCTGTAGATAGACATGATGACAATAGGAAGAATGACTATCAACGCAATCTGCAACGAATCTGAGCTGCTGGTTCGGATATTGATATGTCCGGTCCTCTTGGTGTCAAGACATGCAGAAGCTGCTACTTTCGTTTGTCTTCCGACAGAGACTTGAGATCGGAGATTGCCTGTGACGGTGAAATCGTCTTTCGACTTCGTTAGAGTCATCCCTAGAGCTGATTGGTTTTGGCCTATTGGGTAATCAGCTTCTCTAAGCCTCATCTCGAGGTTTGCTTCATAAGCTGAGTCTCCTCGTGATTGAGAGGTTCCTGCATTTCCCACAAGGACGAGTCTTTTCCCGAGCGCGATTTGTTTCTCGAGTTTGACACCATTGGCAATTTTTCCATCCATGTATGTCATTAGCCCTCCAAGAGTCGTCTTGATCTTCTTCAAGAACTTGAATTTGGTTTCTCCTTTGATCAAATACATAAGTTGCTCACTTCCTTGGACAAGGAACTCTGCCATGGTGGATCCATTATCCCCATGCTTAGCACATACAGAGGAGTTTAGAAGGATGTTGAAGTCTTTCTTGTCTTTGGTCATTTGGACAGAAACTCCTGCAGGGAAACGATTAGCTATGGCGAGACTATGTTCTGCGATGACACGGTTTAATCCGACGTCATGGTCCCAGCCTTGAGAGTCCAACATTGGCTTGGTAAGGAACTGTGAAGTGGATTCCGGAGACCGGTAAAGGTAAGCTAAATCATCACTTTCAAATGAAGGTGGCAAGACTATAGCGGGTGATAGACCATGAGGCAATGCAGGTGGAGCCTTTTCTTCTTCCGGATAACCATACTTGCTTTCACCGACCTTCTTCTTCCCGTTTTTCTTCATTTCCCTCATCCTCCTCAACTCCTCTCTCCATTGTTTCTTTTGCAGAAGCTTTACCCGATAATGATACTCATCAAAGTAAGCTTCTTTGTGTTCCTTCGAGAGTTTATCAAGTTGGGTTTTTCGAAGAGGCTTAAACGGTGGCAGCTGGTCAAACTCGTCATCTTCTCCATCTTCCTGCTCAAGATCACACACGTCATCAATTTCGATATCAGAGTCAATACTATCCCCACCTTGATCTGCAGGGAGCTTTGGATGTGCACGGGATTGCAACAACCAAGACAGCAAGTTAGGGAGAGGCAAGGATCGAAGTCGGGACCAAATTTTTTTACGATTGTCCAATGGTTCTTGAGGCTTCAAGAGAGAATTTGCTTCTGACAAAACCTTCAGGGAGTAGCACAACAACAACAGCTGAGGTCTCCAAGTTTGGCCATTTGGGAGAACCTTCACTCCCTCCCGGTTCTTCCTACACAAGGGGTGATTCTCAACGAGAGAAACCGGATTCATCAGACTTGGGTTTATAAAACGTAGATCACCAACGGCTTGTCCAATAGACTGTTGAACAATATGTGAGCACTGCGCTACAAACACATCATAGCTCAAAGGAGTGCCGGATGGGCCATCAGGAGGAGCAGAAGCAGCATGGGTCAATGTCACTATGGCGTTTTCCCATATAGATGGACCAAGAGACGTCGTGATTGTCCTTAGCAAGGGCATATTGTTCAAGCCTCTGTTCTGAGCATCAAGACGGTCCACATAAAGAACAACATCAGGGGGATATTTCTGCATTACCTTTTTTACTGAAGACAACATTTTGGAATTGGCACTTTGATCCATGGCATAAGACTTTAAGCCTGGAGTATCGATGATTGTGATGTCGACACCATTCACTGTTCCAGATATTTTTCTAACTGATGTGGTGGAAGGTCCAAATGCATCAATGGAGACCTTTTGATCCCCCAAGATAGAATTTATCGTAGCACTTTTTCCCACTCCGGATTTTCCAAGGACCAGTATGTTGAGAGAGAAGTTCAAATCTTCTTTTCCCTCAGCCTCAGACTCCCTAACCATCTCCTTTGCCGCATCAAGACTGAAAGACTGACCTGAATGTCTCCCGAGAATAAGTGCAAGACGATAAAGAACCTGCGCTGCTATTGAATCTTCTACAGACTGTCCCAACCTGTGTACAAGACGCAAATACTTCACACGAATACTTTGCAATTTTTCCAACTTCTGTTTCTCTTCCTCGCTCAAGTTACTCTCACTCTCTCCACCCATTCCGACTTGTCGATTGGGAAAGAAGTTGGACCGGTTTGGACGTGGGGCTGCAGATTTCACAAGTCTTAAAGATGGACCCAAATCGCCACCATCTGAACTTCCACTAGTGACTGCCTTTAAAAGCGCAGCCAAAGCTGCAGTATCAAATGTTTCCTCCTCACCTTCATCATTCGTGTCTACTTCCTCGTCAGAATCAGTAACAATTTGACCATCACTCCTATCTAACTGATTGCTAAGAATGCTTGTTTCATCAGAATGAATCTCATTACCAGAAGAAGTCTTTTCCAACTCTTCCACGAACTGTCCTGCAGCTTTAGAACTCTCAAATATCATCTCTTCAGTTTCTTTATCACTCTTAGAAATATCAAGCCCCACCAAACCTTCTCCACCAGAAGATCCCTTGTCGATTTCCTTGCCTTCATCGCTAAACTCACATGTAGAAACAATGTCCGAAACTGAGATCTTGTCTCCGTCCTCGACAGCATTGTTCACTTCAGGTACTACAACTGAAGATTCTTCCTCCTCCCCAATCTCTACTTTGGTTGCTTCTGAAGTTTCCTTACCTGTCAATTCATAATTTCCATCATATGCAGCAGTTAAATCATCATCAATTTCCTCAATATATTGGCTTGTCTTATCAACAACATTCACAGATTCTGAACAAATTAACTTCACAATCTCTTCTTCTACAAGAACCTGATATCTTTTCTCATCATCATCTACCTTACCACTAAACAAACTCCTCTCCTCTTCGATTCCATCATCAGATTCTAAACCATCTACATTTTTCACCGTATCATAGATCAAACCCTTTTTTGATTCATAAGAAAAAACCAGTTTCTCATCATCCACGACTTCTTTCTCGTTAACATCAACACTCAAAATTTCAAATTTACTCACACCATTCTTCTCAATTCCTTCTTCTTCCACCGTTTCACAAGAGACAACCTTCGACATTGTAGAAGCAGACTCTGGAGAAACAGAATCGTCCGAAACACACTCAATCATCGGAGAAATAGATTGATGTAACTCAGATAAACCAAGATTATTAGCTCCACTAACAACGCAACTTTCTGATTTTCCCGCCAAAGACTGAGACGAGGTATCGAAACCCTTACCACTGCTCAAAACCCAACCGTCGTCACCATCAAGACCGGCGTCAACGGAAGCCCAAGTTTGTCCTGTAATAAATTGAAAATTCTCTCTCTCATCAAAAATCCTACGGAGGAAGAAGAAGAAGAAAGATGGCAACAACGAAACGAACAAAAAAAAAAAACCTGATTGACTCGAAGTGTGAAACGAAGTTTGATGTGGTGGTGCTACCATCGTCACTGCTACTACTGATTTTTAAATTCGAGCTTTTCACAAAACCTTGTGAAGGAGAAGCAAATAACAATGGCGAGTTTAGGGTTTAAGGAATTTTACCCTTTGTCTATTTTGTCAAGGATTTATGAACGAGAAATTAAGTAGAAAAAAATACGAAAAATAATGCATTTGATTGAGGATTTTATACCTGCGTCACTTTGATGAAATGACCGAATTGCCCTAGGTTTTTAGTCGGTGAAAAATAACTTATTTTGTGGTGATTTGGTCTTTATTCATATCTTTTCTAGAGAGCAAACAACAACAAAAAAACTACAATTTCACTAATTTCAAAATCAAAGATACAAAATCAGTATAGAGAACAAAAATTTATAAGCTTGGAAAATACTTTACTTTAACATAAATTAAAATATATTACTATTTTTCTGTAAGTTTAGTCTGTGAATTGTGGTTTTTTTTCTTCTGTGAAGTGTTGTTTTATCAATCCAGTGGTTTTACATGGTACCTGAAAATGGAATGAGTTGCAGCTTCTGGAAAATCTGCATGGACGCCGTTTGGACCACTGATCAAGGAAAAGATGTATTCAAATATCAGCAATATTGGGTACTTCCTAATGTTAGATCCAACGAGTTTGAACAGTTACTCCTTCATCTAACTATAGTCCTTCCGTTCACAAAACCCTGAAATTGCCTCTGAAATCATGCAATTATGGTTTTCCATTTCCCGAGACTTTCTCCTTCTCGATTCTTCTTTTAATGGGCTTCAATTGTGGGTTTAAATTTGGGTTCTTTTATTGGTTCAATCAGATTCTAACATGGACATGTTGAAAATTGTGGCTGTTTTATGGGCATGTTGAAAAATTTATAATTTTAATGCCAAAGAAAAAGAAAAAGGAGAATTAGCATATATATTACTTTTTATATTTATAATTAAATATCTAACCGTAACTAACTTTTAACCCACTTAAACTTCCAATTTTATCTTTATCTAATTGCACAATCTTTTACATTTAAAATAATAAAATTAAACTCTAATTTAAATATTCCTTAGTTATCTCTCT